TTATTTATAATATAATATTTTATCAAAAGAATTACACATGTTATTGATAAATCTTTCCACATGCGTAAAGTATAATAAATTCACTTTAAAGTGTTTGATCAGCGAGTTTTATATCTTAAACCGTTTAGAGAAAGAGAAATTGAAGCGTTCTAAGTATATCGTGATTTTGGAGAAATCACAAACTTAAAAATTTTTTATCTCGAAAAGCATTATACTGATTGCATTAAAACTTGATATAAATACATGTTTTGTAAAATGTTATGTAAAAATACGAAAAAAAATCAAGAAAAACAAAAAATATGTATTTATTTGCAGTCTGATCTGATGTGGAATTGCCCGTATATACTGAATATTTACGAACTACAAATAAGATACAATCAATTTCGATAAAAACACGACTAAAATAAATATTGATTAAAAAAGATAAGTACGCTATGTGCTAAATAATATAAGAGAAAAAAGGTAGAAAACTCATCAAACATATTATATAAGAAATCTGCTATATTACGAGCCAGAAACACGATTTAATTATCGATATTTTTTATCTTTTCTATCGGATCTTTTAAGCAGGGCATTTCTTTTTTTTTTCATTCAAACATCAAGCTTGCTTTCTAAATTCTTAAATAAATTGCGATATAAAAATCACTGACTTTTATTATTATTTTATTGATGCATGATATATAAGAATATAAAAACAAACAAGATTTTATTAAGATATTTAAAACTTGGCTTCGCGACGCTACCGCGTCGCATGATATATTCTAATTTTTATTATAAAACGCTAAAGTTGGAAGCGTAATTCTAGTTTTGCAAATTTTTTTGAATTAACGCTAAACAGAGATTGCTATTTAACATCGAGCTTCTTGCACAAATGTGCAAAAAATATAAAATAACGATTGATAGTAAAAAAAAGAATAGTGATAAAGGAGAAAAAGATAAGGATATTATTATATTTAATAAGAAAAGCATGCAGTTGCATTTCGTGCCAAATGAAAATAATAACAATATTACTAAAGCTAAATTTTGACGACTAAAAGCATTAAAACTGAAAAGTAAGTTGCTGTTGCCTTGAAATAAAATTGGATATAATAATTGTATTATATTTACATTCACACAGATAGGATATATGCATATATAAATATAACAGAGATATTTCTTTTTAATGGTATAACGTGCTAATGCGATTTAGTAGTGCACTCGTAATCGCGACATAAATTCTCTATCGATTTTCATATAATGATATTTAATAACATGTAAAAATACACGCAAACATTCTCTATTTGCTCAATACCTGCATACGGATGTTTTGTAGGAAGAATAGCTTGATTGATCGTCGGCAAAGTTTTTGTCCACTTCATGTGACTCTGACATCGCGACGCGGGTGGCCACATTCTCTTTGGTGAATTAGTACAACTTGAGGCGGACGTGGAGGAGCCGCTTTCCATTAGCGATCTGTCCATCACTGATACATCGATGCAATCGCAGTCCTCGCCACATGAATGTAGGCGTACATCGCGTTTATTAACAAAAAACTTATTCTCTCGTTCGGCCTGCAATTTAGCGAAGTTCTCGCTCCTATCTTGACATTGCGTCAATCGCGAACATTTGTCCTTCATGAAGTATTGTTTTTGTCTCACTAGATTTTCAAATTCTTTCGAAAGTAACTTCACAGTACCCTCAATGGCGCGAGTTATTCTGACATCCATGTTCGCATCCAGATTGTCAATTCGTTTGTTGGCAGATTGTAAATTTGAACCATCGAACTGCAGTTCCATCATTTGCAAATCGCAGGAGGCCCCATTAGGCTCTAACGAGTCATAAGTTTCCGTATCTTTCGTTGGAATTTCATTTTCAAAGCAGTTTTGTTTCTTATCGGAAGGTTTGCTTTGTTTCTCGATCGTGTCATGAATTTTTCCTAAATAATGATTCTTTATTAAATGCGAAGAATCGTTCCTATCACGTATAAGTTTATCTTGCAACATAACATTGTTATCAGTGCAATGAGCTTGTAAGCTGTAGAACTTATGTCTACTGTCTTTATCGTTATCAGATTCTTGTACATAGTTTGCAAATTGCAAAACTTGCTTCATTGCCTCCGTATTAATCGAATCTCGTTTAATTTCTGAATCGCTTCGCGTAACTCGGTATTCTGAATAAGATGAATTTTTGGGAAGCGCTATATAATTATCGGAATCGGCGGCGCTTTTTACAGTAGATGATAAAGATGGCGTATCGATATATTTCCAGCTTGGTTTAATTCTGTTACGCATACTCTGAGTACGAGATAAATTTTTTTTAGGTTTCGGTGGTTTATGAGCAACAAAGTTATTCATAATCATCATCGATTCTGGTTTCATAGGCACTTTCAAGCTATTACTACGCGAGATCGGTTCTAATTTGCCATAAATTGCCGGGTCTACATTTCCCTTATGTTCGTTGTCAAAATTAGATTCATAATAAACGTGAGTTTCCGGTGATGCGTTATTTTCTATAAAATTTATGTCGTTCTTTATTTTGTTAATTCTGGTGTCTTGTAAGGATTTTGATCTAAATACTGTTCTGTACAATGTATTCTCATTAACAGAACTTCGCGCATTATCTACAGCAGCTCTTATAACATTATTGGGATTTTCGCTATAAGTTTCGGAGTTCTGCCTCTTTCGTTTGTAATGCGAATCGAACAACATTTCCAAAGGTGCAGATTTCACCAGAGAATCGGAATCATCGGTTAATACACTTTCTGTGCTTTGATGAGCGGTGTTCTCGCGCAATGGAAATATCTGATAATCCGATTCATCGGTCAATATACTCTCCTGACTTCTGCCCGCTTGCATCTTACGTCGGGACAAAAAGAAGCTCGCACTTGAGTGTCTATCGTGATCGTAATGATTATAATCTATCTCGACACTTTCTTTGGAGAATGACTCAATAGAGGCATCTGAAAGTATGCTTTCCTGAGAGCCCGTTAAAATTTTCTTTTGAAAATTCTGATAATTTGAATGATTTCTATGGTCGTCCATATGAATGTTTATCTGATAGTCACTAATGCAACGTCGAGGTGGATTCTTGAAATCCCCCTCCAAGGAATCGTCGCTGAAATTGCCGTTTTCTTCCGCATCGTCCATGGTTTCTTTGAGATTTTCCACGTTACGCTCGTTCATAGCTGGTAAACTTTCAACGGATTTCGCGATGTTCTCCATATCCTCATCCAGATCAATAAAGTAGCTACAAGATCTCCTCTTTTGAGCAAATCTCGCAAACCGAGTTGCAGTCTTCTTACATTGCTCTTTCAGTAGTTTCAATTCCTCGCATACAGGAGATTCGGGTAAAGATTGATTAGTCTTATTCAAAGACAGCTTATACTTTTCAGTTTTCTTTAATGTCAATGTTATTGGACGGCTATGACTTGGTTTTGTTTTCTCATCAATACATAACATAGTTTTATTTTTTGATAAGTAGTTTTCATTTGGTACCTCTAGTTTAGGCAATGCATTCCCCATACCTTGAACCTTATTAGTGAGTTGTTGAGGTTTAAATGTGGACTTTGGATTTAGCATAGGTTTGCAGGGATTAGTCGGTTTTGAAAATTGGTTTTTTTGACCGAATCTGTTACCTGTGCTGAGCCTCGAACGATGATGCTTCGCTTGTATATGGCTGCTCAAATCGGATATACTCTGGCTGGATTTCAATGATGATCTGTAGCCGACCTGTAGACATAATAATCAAGTTTTACTAAAAATCTTGTGCTACGTTTCGTTTTTCTTGTGCAAAAAAGAAATTGTTACTTACACTTTGCAATTTTCTTCTTGTTTCTTCTATCCTCCTTTGCAACTCTTCTCGTTTCTTCACTACATCGACATCGCCTCTCGCGTGTTTGGTTGCATTAACTACTGTTGCATTGCGTATTGTGGTTCCTTCACTGCCACTAAGTCTGCAATAGTGTAATTTAATCGATAATTAGAAAATATTAAACACAATCAGTATCATAAAATTTCAAGTCTTCGTTAAATCTTATTTTATTCATAATTAAATATCATTTTACCTTCCATGAAATTGGGAACTAATACTCGTCGTTTTTATACGATTCAAAGGCTCTTCCGCTCCACTAAGTGACTCGAAGGCGTTTTTCAAATATTTTTCCCTATGATTCTGTTTAGCAAGCTGATCAAAACCTTCTGAACTAGCCTCAGACAATATAGATAGAGGATTTCTTTCAGCGCTAGGAGTTGATGCACCGCCTTCCGAGTCAGACTCATCCTGGCTTCCAGAGGCGGTCAATTCGCTCGTCCGACTGTTCTCTGCGTTCTTTAATCTTTTTTGTCGCCTTTGCGATCTGTGCATTCAAAAAATACTTTGTATTATTTTACAAGATACTTATACTATTATCCTAAAAAAAAATCAAGTATAAAACCTTCGAAGCTCTTCAACATCTATTGCGTTAACAGTGAATTGATTTGATATAATATCTTCTGATGGAGGATAATATATTAATCTATGATGTGATTTCTCAGAACCAGTCGTTCCATTTTCCCCTTCGGAATAATCTTCAACGTCCCCATCATGTTCAGTGCTCTCATGATCCTGAATGACACAATATTTTTTGATAAGAATATGGCAAATCATTATTGACAACAGACATAACAATTAACAAAAATATAGATGACACATAAGCGATAATTAGTAAAATAATAATTAAAATCATGATATCAGCAGTAATATGTTATTTACAAAATATATGATGCATTTTGTTTTGTTTAAAAAAAGAGTTTTATAAATTCCCAGTAAGCAATTTGATAACAAATTGTTGCCAAATTGGCATCTAGCCTTTTTGCTGACAATAATTTGTAGCAAGCACTTGGCAATATCTGTTAGAATAGACGTGGCTGACTGAGTTATTTCGTAAAAAGGTTATCTTTTTGAGTAATGATTTCTGAAAACGTTTTACGTTTAAGACGTTATACCTCAAATTTAAAGCTGCCAAGACTGCTATCGTCGGTATGGTGACGACTCCTTGATTGACGTGTTAATTCCGTGATATTGTTTCTTATTGTTATCTTATCATCAATTATCTACATCAGCAGTCGAAATAAAATATATTTAGCAAAACATAAATATATGATGATAAATTAAAGACCAATTTAAATTAAAAAAAAGAAGTGATTAAAAAGACAAGAGCAAAATAAAATAATCGATAAGTAAAAGGCCTGTTATCAATGAAAATTAGAAAAACGCATGCGATTAAGTGATATTAATGTTAATAATTTAGTTAGTACCTGTTTTGTGTCATTTTCTATCTCTTTATAACTTTCGGGATCAGGTTGGAATACGTTTTCTCCCTCTTCCTAAAATCGTAATTAAATGTTAATATTTTGTTCCTAAATTAAAAAAATAGCAATATTATAATTTATTTTATAATATTTATAGGTTAGCGATCGATGTTCAGTTGTGCAATCACTAACACATATACTTTTTATAATTAATTTTATAAGCATCTATATTAACGATCTATATTCTATATCAGTGCTGGGATTTACTTGCACATTTCGGCCCGATTCCGTGGCTCACGCCTATTGCCCCCCACTCACCGCTCGTGCGTTAGCAACGAGTCGCCAGATACGCGTAACTAAGGAGCGCGACGCTTCGTCTCAGCAGCGTTTATATGTAAGAATGTCCAAATATAATAATAAGACAATACTTTTCTATAATTAAAAGTTTTTCTTCAATATTTTATATCAATGAAATATAAAATATTGAAGAAAAACTTTTATTTATAGAAAAGTATTGTCTTATTATTATATTTGGACATTCTTACATATGAACGCTCCTGAGACGAAGCGTCGCGCTCCTTAGTTACGCGTATCTGGCGACTCGTCGCTAACGCACGAGCGGTGAGTGGGGGGCAATAGGCGTGAGCCACGGAATCGGGCCGAAATGTGCAAGTAAATCCCAGCACTGTTCTATATTATTATGTCTTCGAATGAGCATGTGTGTGATAATTATAAAGAATATGATTAATAAATGCTAAAAAATCAAATAATTTGCATATTTAATTAAAAACATACTTTATAATACCAACCCTTTTACTAATTGTTGTTTTTCGGCGATATTCGTTGCTACATTTCGTTTCCGTGCCGCTGTCGATGGAACTATCCTTTGAACCACCACCACCGCCACCGCCATCCGAATCAATAGCAGTACGAGACGGAGGAAACGGTATAACTTCATCACTGTCATAGACGGACTTTACAGTGATACCGTCGCTCTCTTGAACTCTTTGTGCCCATCTTCCTTTGGGTAGATCAACATTGAGGGATCTAACGTTCAAGTCAAGTACCGCACTATCATCAGTACTTGTGGTATTTATTTGTTTCTTCGCCCAAAGTGGCAATTGACCCACACTAAATCTGTAATCCATGCCGATACCTTGAGGCGGATTCGCGTTGGGATCAAGGAAATCCGGTGGGGGTGTTCCGAAAGTTTCTTTGTCCAATTGCACATCGATACTACCAACGTTGACCTGAGACAGTCTCCTGTGAACAACACAATACATCCAATAATAATGCAGATTTTATTCGAAGTTGCGATTTTCATTTAAATCAATAAAATTTAATAAGATTTAAACAATGGGGAAAAGAGAGAGAAGAAAAGTACTCACTTGCCGGCGCGCATCGCTTGTTGAGCCAGACGAGCTTGCATGGTCACAACCATATCGTGTGGCACGCGCCATATGAACACGCAACCATCGCCGCTCGCAGATACGAGGTGACGACAGTCCGAACTGAAACGTAAACCTGTCACCAATTCTGAGTGACCGACCATAGTGGCCATACATTCACCGCTGTAATAATCATATACGCAAAGTGTTTTGTCTGTACATGAGGTAGCTACGTAAATACCGGACGCATCTGAAAATATGTTAAATAGAACATTTGTAGATCAAAGTCACTCAGTATGAATATTGCTGTTTTACTTCAACATGAATGAAATATTTTTAAACAGCGAGATTTGAAGCCATTATAAATTTAAGTCATTTATTATTTTAATGATAATTTAATTCATTTCTTTAATGTAAAAATATGATTCTAAAAAACAAATAATTATATTACAGTAGAGCTTCCATATAAGTTACGGTTTCATTACTTTGGTTTCTCCTTCACATGTACTTTCACCAACACTAATATGTTATTTCTATGTCATAATAAACAAATTACATGACTGTGCGCAGCATACTTATATGCATATGTTGAATTATTCTCGCGAGTGCTGACGGCTTTGCTTACGCAACTATGCATAACTATTTCGCGCAAGTGCACGACGATTGAATAGTTTCGCACTATAATAGGAGGAAGGATTCTACAGACATTTTTTTTCAAGAATTTTTTATTTTTCGAGCCCCTTGAAGCAAAAGTTATGGAGGCTATATTATGTAGTTTTACTTTATTAAGTATTAATGTTTATTAATTTCATTATTATTTCAATACAGTATTGATTTTCCTGTTAAAGAATTTTACAATATTATAATAAAGCAGCGATATGATGAGCTATAAACTATCTTACCTAGAACGACTTTGATTAGTGAGCCATCGTCGCTAACGGAGCCTTTAAAAGTTTTATTGTGTTTACCCGTTGTAACATTGTAAACTCTAATATTTCTATCTTGACACGCAGTTAAAACATGCTTTTGCCCGGAATCGACTTCCATGTCATACAGAGTAGTTTTTCCCTGAGCGTTGTGATCTCTTGCGAATTGTGGCATTCCACCTGGTGTCTACACAAATACGGAAGATAATCATATTATTTTAACAGACAAATCGAAACTAATCATCGATTATCGAATCAAGTTGTTTACCGATTGCAGCTGTCTAAAAATAATACTCTTATCGGCGCCGCAGGATACCATTTGTATTTGATTGTCCTGATTTGATTGATTGAAGAATCTGACAGCAGTAATGGACGAACTGTGATCGTCGAGCGTTTGCAAGAAATTGTATCCCTGATCCACGCTAAAAACGTGAATTAATCGATCTCGCGATGCACTTGCCAATAGCCTAGGGACATTTACCGAGTATTGTAAAAATTTCGAATACTCTAAACACAGCACCTCTGCATCATGTGCCTCTATTAAACACAGTTCTTCTAATGAAGATACATCATGAATTCTAATGTTGCCGGATCTATAAGAATAATGCACATATGTTATATTTCTTATATTTTTTTTCTGTTATTTTATCTGTTTCTTTTCAATCAGCTATATACAATATGTATAGTATATATTTGTATACAAGATGAAGGAATAGTAACGGCACGCTTTGATTTCAAGAACTATAGATTTGAGAAAAAAAATGTTTAAAAGACGAAAGGATACAATGCATTCTAATTAGCAATTATGTCATTTTAAACTTGAATTATGCTAACGCTGGCGAAATCGTAAATTTCATGGCTCGTAACTCAAAAACTTCTTAATAAAAGAGAATTTAATAATATATTTTGAAAACGTCTCGACGTCATCTACAAAAATATACAATAAAAATAAAAGTCTCTATTTAAAAAAACTCAAAATGACCTTCACACGACTTTCATAAAGTGATCCAAGGTCAAAATGATACAATTGCTAAATACACATCATACCTATGACTTTTGTCTAAAACATTTTTTTCCAAAATCCATAGCTATCGAAATAGGGCGTTTTGATTCCCCATTCTGTATATATTAACTATATTCTTCTTTTTATTTTACCTATCGCCGGAGGCAAGGTGTTTGCCGTCAGGACTGACTCTTATAGATCTTACGCCATTACGACCATCATAAGATGCGTCGCTTTTTTCGGTGGATCCTGCGGCAGCTAAGTCCAGATCTTTCAGATAAGTCAACTCTGGATCCACATATAAGACTTTGAGCAATTCCTGTTGATAAAAAAAAAAAAGAAAAATATTGTGAAATAACATATTGGCTTTATACGATTGCGTCTTATTCTGTTATATATTGCGAAAGAGGATAAGAGGCGCGCGCCTATATACTGACGTTGCTGTAAATGTTTCGTTTATACAACGTATTATTTGACGAGATATCCTTCTCCAGATTCCAAATCCTTATTGTGTCATCACTAGAGCAAGTGATGAAACTCCCAAGCGGCATCGCGCCGACGGAGTCTGGACCGGTTGGATACATCTCGACACCCCAAATGCAAGCCGAATGGTATAAGAATGAATGCGACTTGCCAACCCGTCTAATATCTTTCACGTCCCAAACATAGATACTATGGTCATTGTAGATGCAGGTTAGCTTGTTGTTTCGTTCATCGAATGCCAACGCAATCGTATCTGGATATCTCGCGTTAAGTGGATGTTGAGACATATGACTAAAAAAAACGAATAAAAAAGTATTCATAAGTTTTGCGTATGAAACACACACCAGAGAATTGAAGAAATATTGCTAAACCTGATAGACAATCCTTGCGCGACATCAACTCCCAAATAATGCGTCCGTGGAAGTGTTGTGATAAATTGAAGCGTACTAGGACTAAAACATCTCACAATTCCTTCAGCGCATCCGATAAAAATATATTTATCCCCAACCGTCATGCAATTAGCACTGCTTGTCTGAAAAAGTAGAGAGAGAGAGAGAGAGAGAGAGAGAGAGAGAGAGAGAGTATATAAAAAGTTGTTCTCATTCTCATAGATAAATTTAAAATAGATTGATTATATTCTATTCTTTTCTTTTTGCTTCGTTTCGATCGACGTAACTGTATAAAAACAATCCTAACCATCCAGAATAACTTACTCGGAGTTCGACCCATTTGTCCAAAAGCCTCCTATTATTAAATTCACACAACAGGCCCGTTTTGGTAATCACATACGTGGAATCCGCCATTTCCCCCTTGCCGCAAGCTACATCAACGAAATCATTATTCCTTTGTTCCCCTAATATGGCAGATCGGCCCATCAAAGGCACAGGTTCCTTGTACTGCGCAACAAAATACTTATGCTAGAATGCTATGTCTCTATTGCGTGAAGAAAAAAAAGAAAAAGATCGGTTTTATATCGCAAAAGTTATTGTTAGAAGTTACCTTGCTACTGCGAGAATATTCCAAGTACCAAAACTTGACGTGTCTGTTACCCACGGTGACGAAATAATTACCGTTTTCCGCAAAGCAGACAGCTTTTACTTTGCTAGAAACTTTGTTGGATGCTACTTTAACGTTGTTCCTCCAGTCCCAAACGTTGACGATCATGTCGTGCTGCGAGCCGACCGATACGACATACTTGTTGCTTGGCGAAAATGCCTGAGATAAAAATAGAATATCGTTTTTGTACATGTACGAGAGCTATTCGGAAATCAACCTCCGATAGGCTTGCAAAATAAAATAAGAAATAAAAAAAACATTTTATTATACTCAAAAGTTACTTTACAGTATACACGTACATACACGTATACACAGTACACTTTTCGACATAATTGCCACCCGAATTGAGGCATTTGTCATAGCGCGGCACAAGCTTTTGTATGGTTTCATCAAAGTATGATGCCGCCAAACTGGAATCTCAGCCAACTCCTAGCACTGCTTCTCAACTTCTCGTTGCCCTCAAATCGCTGCGTTCCTAACCATACCCTTTCATACGTATGAACAGATAAAAATCACTTGGTGCAAGATCCGGGTTGTAGAGTGGATGGTTGAACTTTCATTGCACTGCTTCCGTTTTTCGACCACTCTACATTGTACCAAGTGATTTTCATCTGTTCACACATACAAAAGTGTGTTTAAGAATGCAACGATTTGAGAGCAACGAGAAACTGATGAGCAATGTTAGGAATTAGCAGAGATTCCATTTGGCGGTATCGTACTTTAATGAAACCGTACAAAAGCTTGTGCCGCACTATATCCATACAGCACAGAATATTTCAATTACATTGCAATGTTACAACCTTGCTAGTTGCAAAGTAATATTGTAGAGACATTACAGAAACATGTCATTGTAATATTTCATGAGAAATGTTACCGGAAGATTCCAAAAACTTTACAAAAGAAAAACAATATTCAGCCGTTAGTTTGTTTGTTTACCGCTATGCAACGCGTATAATATATAGTAAGTGCCTCAATTCGGATGGCAATTATGCCGGAAAATAGCGTATATATATAAGTAACTTTTGTGTGTATAATAAAATGTTTTTACTATTTCTTATTTTATTTTGCAAGCCTATCGGAGGTTGATTTCCTAATAGCTTTCGTACTTCAATTCACTTAACATTATAGGTATAATATATGTGTACAAAGTGTTCATTAATTCCACAAATTATAAGTGCGCGTGCGCAGGTGTGCGTATATATCGGGTGTTTAAGAGCAGATGGTACACTGGATGGAGCGGAAAAGAGATGATTCTATGTGAAAAAATAAATCAAAAATGTAAAACAAAGTTTTTTATAAAAGACTTTATTTTCAGAAAAAACAACAAATCATTATTGACAAAGACAAGTTATCAGGACTGATATAAAAAAAATCTTGCTATTGGTAATGTTTGTAAACACAAAAAAGTGTAGAGATAATAAGGCCATTGTATAGTAGATATAGTTATAATTAGACATAATGAACGCATATCTGACAAATATCAAAGTTGTTTTTCTGGAGAACGCAAAACCTCATATAAAATGGTATTCTACACTTTCGATTAATTTTTTTATGTAGAATCACCCCTTTCTCGCTTGTATCATCATTTTGGTATATCCGATACACAAAATGTCCCAAAATTTGCGTATCAAAATATAACAGAAATATTATAGCAGAAAAGTCCTCGAAAAGTTAAGTAATAAAAATACTTTTAACAAAGAGTACATATAAGTTAACAAGTAAAGCAGACGGACGTTTCGACTCTTTTTGGAGCCATCTTCAGCGTACTAGTTTAATTCGCAATTGATATTGATTTGTAATTTTAATTCTTTGACTTATATATAATGCGAACTGTGTAGAAATTTGCGAATTAAACTAGTACGCTGAAGATGGCTCCAAAAAGAGCCGAAATGTCCGTCTGCTTTACTTGTTAACTTATATGTACTCTTTGTTAAAAGTATTTTTATTACTTAACTTTTCGAGGACTTTTCTGCTATAATATTTCTGTTATATTTTGATACGCAAATTTTGGGACATTTTGTGTATCGGATATACCAAAATGATGATACAAGCGAGAAAGGGGTGATTCTACATAAAAAAATTAATCGAAAGTGTAGAATACCATTTTATATGAGGTTTTGCGTTCTCCAGAAAAACAACTTTGATATTTGTCAGATATGCGTTCATTATGTCTAATTATAACTATATCTACTATACAATGGCCTTATTATCTCTACACTTTTTTGTGTTTACAAACATTACCAATAGCAAGATTTTTTTTATATCAGTCCTGATAACTTGTCTTTGTCAATAATGATTTATTGTTACCCTTTCAGATGTTTATCTATAGAGCCTTATACTTTTAATTTAAAAAAAAATATTTTTGTAACATTTTCACACACACATTTCAAGTAATAGTTTTTGAGATGTAAGGTCAATCAAGGCTACGTTTAGATAATTGCCTATTCGTTAGTCGCGCTTACGTTAATATTAACGTACGCGCGTTAATTTGCGCGTTAATTGATGCACGTACATATAATTCATGCGAGAATTCATGTGGTAGGGCAGCAATCATGTAACTTTTATCCTAAGACGGAAACATGAAACGTTTCAATGATTGATCAATCATTGAAATTAATGGAAAAAATTTTTACTTTTCACGTTTACACACTAGAAAAAAATTATATAACCGTTGCTTTGGTGATCGTCTAAAGATAACTTATGATTGGCCAATATTTTATATCTCTTATATCTCAATAATCATAGCGTGAAATAAAAAAATTGAAAATTCTTTTATTACTTTTTATTATAATTTTTTAAGAATTTTCCTGTTATAGTATTTTGACATGCAAATTTCGGAATACTTTGTACATAAATACATACAGAGTATTTCATTTTAATCTATGCAAAATATTTCATTTTAATCTTAATAATCAAATACTTTGAATAAATGCAACTTAAAGAAATTTTTTAAATAAAAGTTGTTAATTTTTAAAGGAAACGCGTAAAACGATGATTTTGATCTGACCTTGGGTGAATCCTTAGAGATTGAGTCTTTTTATGCTTTGACAAAACCACAAAGTTTGTCAAGGCCGGCATATGATAATCTTGTGTCAAGATCATGAAGGACTTATTTAAATCGTTTGGAAAAGGTCGAGATATAAGATACCGTAGAAAATGACCAAAAAACGATCCAAAACATACATTTTTAATGCATATTTATCGCTGAAACTTAACAACAAAAAGTTTACGCACCAATAACCGCGCTTTGGCTCTTATTTGCCACTTTCCCCATTTAGTAATGTTAGTACTCTGAGCCGGTAATTATTTCGAATAAGACCTTTTCTGAATTTTGACAAATATGATCGGATTTCTCGGTAAAACTATGTAAAATAATGCCGAATATATGTACTCTGTGTGATGTATATAACAAAATAAATTATTAAAAATTTATTATCATATATATATGTCCAAAAAAATTAATTATTTTTTACTTTAATATTATAAGAAGTTTTAAAAGTAAAATACATTAAATGGCTATATCCAAAAAAAATTATATTTTGAAATTAATCTTTTTGATAACACATATTCCATTTAGTATATAATTTCAGCCTAATCTTATAAAATGAGAGAAATAAGAAGTAAAAAATATCCAAAATTTTGCGAATATACGAGATGAAAAATTATTGCAAGTAGCACTCACCACGCAATTGATACCGTATTTGTGTCCGGGAAATTCTGCAATCTGCACGGCATTATGCGGATCCGAGATATCCCAGACACGGACGTTCGGCATGTGACCGCATTCACCCGTTGCCAGAAGCTTGCCATCTCCGGCGAGCGCTAGAGAAGTTACGGTTTTGCGACAAGCGTTCAACACATGCGCTTGACTGTTCTTCCGTGGATTGAATAGCACGACGGTACAGCTGTAATATAATGCAATAGAAACGATATTATCTGTAAAACGCAACCAATCGAGACGATTTTACTAGTCATTAAGAGTCATCATATAATCGCAAATTTCTAATATAATCTATAATATAAACAAAATGTTATCATTATAAGCATAAATTTAAAGTAATTTACAATATCATTATTTGCTATTACATTGATTTTATACCTAAAAATTAATTGGATTTTATATAATCCAGTGTGATAAATCATATTCCGTATTACTGATTTATTTATCGCAATCTTATTAGTTCGTGGTCACTAAAATTACAGGATCGACAATTAAAGTTTTTGTTTTCTATCTCGTTAAATGTTTTCTATTTCTTGATTTCTCGCCATTCAATTAATCTTAATTGCAATTATTGCGATCACACAGAGTAAATCTAACAATTTCTTTGATAATTTTTAGTATCGTAGCATATAATGAGAGATAGTATTTTCATTAGAGATCTTTTATTTCTAATGAAATAAGAGATATGGGTGCAAAAACTGAGTGCAATATCAAATAAAACTGGATATCGACTTATAACTGATTTATACTCATCCAAAAAAAAAGATAAAAATAAAGAAATATATAAATAAGAAAAGAAAAAAGGAATAAGAGAGAGAAAGCAAAAGACAGAGAGAGAGAGAAAAAGAGAGGGTAGAGATGAAGAGAAGAGGAGAAGAAAAAGGAGTGAGGCGATTTTAATCTTTTCTTCTGTTGAATTTTTAATATATATTTAATGACGAGCCTTTTCTAATAAATCAGTTTTATTACGAAATGTTCGTGTTTGTGTCTGCAAGGTTAAATCGCAGCCTGCCGGCACGTGCACAGTGAAAGATACAAAAAACAGATATGCAAATTACAAATGATTTTTCTACAATTAGTTGCTGTAATAATTACAGTTGTTTACGACAACTAGTAACTGTTCTAATATTCTGATCTTAGTGGTTTTATTACTATTTATTCTCTTATACTTAATCGAGATTCTACTTATCGTAACGATCCGCACGCTATCGCTGTTCGCACCAGAGAGAGCGAGTCACCGTGTCTCGCTGAATCGCTATCCCTCTGAGTCTTTAGTCTGGCCATCTGTCGTTCACATTTCTACGGCAGTTCCTTTAATAGCGCGCGTTTCAATTCAATACTTCTAAGCTAAATTTACAGTTATCCCTGCACACTAATTATATTTCTTAACACTCTCTCTTAATTGTGTGCAGGTTCACAGAGCAGTTTTTTCTTACAATTGCCAAATTTTTCTACATTCAGCGGTTTAGTTAGAATATCTGCTATTTGATCATTGGTTGGACAATACTTAAGCTTTATTATATTATTTTTAACTAGATCGTGTACAAATCTATATTTTACGTCTATGTGTTTAGATCGTCTGTTGACCACTCCGTTGGTCATCAGTATCATCACACTTTGATTGTCTATATTGAGTTCGATCGAGATCACTTCACCTGAGAGTTCCTGTATGAGTGTTTTTAGGTACAGGAGCTCTTTGCAGCACTCTGCTGCTGCCACGTATTCTGCCTCTGTACTCGACAGTGCTATAATTGATTGTCTCCGAGAGCACCAGCTTATAGGACCTCCTGCATAGTATATGACGTATCCTGTTGTGCTACGTCTTGTTTCTTGATCTCCGGCATAGTCTGAATCACAATATGCTTCAAGCAGATTTGTCTTTCCGTTATTAAGAAATGTAATTCCTTGTTCTGTGTGTCCTTTTAGGTATTTTAATATGTGTTTTACATCGTTTATATTCTCTTGAGTATAGTTTTCTACGTGTCTGCTACAAAAATTTACTCCATATGCAATATCCGGTCTTGTTTTGGTTGATAAGTATAGCAGGCTTCCTACCACTTCTCTATATGGGTAATTTTTATTTTTAAGTTCTGTTTCATTTCCTTCTCCTTTCAATAATGGAATTTTTACGGGTTTAGCATTGTTCATATTGTATTGTTTCAATATTTTAGTTATATAATCTGCTTGTAGAAGTTTTATATCTCTTTCTTCTTTTATTATCTCAAATCCTACAAAGGTTTTAGGTTTGTTTTCCACTGTCATTTTAAATTCCGACTTGAGTTCTTTAATTATCTGCTTCATCTCTTGTTGATTTTTTCCCATAAGGATTCCGTCGTCCACATATATTCCTAGTATCAATTCGCTGTTGTTTTTTGTAAACAGACACTGTTCACTTTCCAGAGACTTGAATCCTTTTCTTTTTAGAAATGTCGTGAATCGTATATTCCACTTCAGGGGAGCTTGTTTCAATCCATAGAGCGCTTTCTTTAGTTTGAAAACTTTGTCCTTATTGTTGTATCCATCTGGAGGATACATGTATACGTCTTCATCCAGAATTCCATACAGGAATGCGGTTTTAATGTCAAATGTCATAGTTACATAATTTTTCATTGCAGCTATTGCAAAGAGACTTCTTAATGCGCTCGTGCTTATTACTGGGCTGAACGTTTCTTCATAGTTCACTCCGTATTTTTGCTCACATCCTTTTACTACTAATCTTGCTTTGTACGTTCCATCTTGTTTTATTTTAAATACCCATTTTCCTTGCAGTGGTTTTTGTGATTTTAATTTCCTGATGTCTATCATCTCCCATGTATTATTTTCTTTGAGTGAAGTTTTCTCTTCATTTATTGCTTCCATCCATCTATTTTTATCAGGACCCGTGATTGCTTCTCTGTACGTCAAAAATACATAATCACCGTATTTGTCCGGACGTTTTGTTTTTCTTGCGGATCTTCTCGGAGTTTCCATTGGGTTTTCTTCTTCCTCCCGGTGTGCTGCATCGCTGTCTTCATCATCTTCTTGTTGTTGACTCAGTGGTTCCCCGTTTTCATGCTCTTCTGGTTCTTCTGTTGCGTCTTCAAATTCCTCCGGTTCTTCTGCTTCTATTTCATTTTGTTGCTTTTCTTCTTCATCTTCGTTTCGTAGTGTCAGTCTGGTTCTGTGTATTTCTTTGTTGCTATATTCTTTCTTATTGAGTTTTCCGAATTTGACATCTCTTGCTATGATTATTTTTCTTCTTTCAGAGTTCCATAATCTATATCCCGTGGGTGCATAGCCAACAAATGTGAGTTCTCTGCTCCTTTCGTCTAGTTTTTTTAGTGGACCCATTACTTTTGTATATGCCTTGCAACCGAACGTTTGAAACAATTTCATATTTGGCTTCCGTTTTTCCCACATTTCATACGGAGTATTTTTCAGTGATTCCGTAGGAGATCTGTTCAGTAAGAAGACTGAGGTGTAGAGTGCTTTACCCCACATTTCTTTGTTCAGTCCCGAATCAAACAAAAGTGCTCTTGCTTTTTCCATTAGGGTCCGATTTAATCGTTCGGCTTTCCCGTTCAGCTGTGGTGAGTACGGTACGTTGTTATCTATTATTATTCCTTTCGTTTTGCTCCAGTTTGTCACTTTTTCATTTATGTACTCTCTACCGTTATCACATCTTAGCTTTGACACTCTTGAATCCCAGTGAGCTTCTGCCATTTCTACGTATTCTTTTATCTTATCAGGAACTTCGTCTTTGCTTTTCAACAGGAATGCTACAGTGAGGTGCGTATAGTCGTCCAAGAATGTCAAGAAGTATCTTTTTTTATCCCAGGTAATAGGATCTATTGGACCACATAGGTCCGTGTGTACAATTTGCAGCGGCCTAGTAGCTTTGTTTCTCTGTTCACCAAATTTAATTCTGGCTTGTTTTGCCTCTTGACATACTGTGCAAAGCGATTCCTGTTTTCTTATTTCTTCTGGTGTTATGTCTAAACCTTCACACAATTTTGTCAGTCTTCTCAAATTTTCATAGCTCAAGTGTCCAAGTTTCCTGTGCCATGTTTCAGCATTGGTTTCTTTATTTTCTGTTAAGTAAGAGTTCTGTTTTGTTTCAGCTTTCAGATCCACCTGAAATAAGCCATTCGATGAGTTTTGTCCTTTTAATATAGTTTTATTTTCATGCCTTATTTCTACTTCGTTCTTCGAAAACAGAACTTCTCCACCTTTCTTGGTTATTGTATTCACTGACAGCAGGTTCATACTTAATTCCGGAACATACATAACTTCTTCCAGCCTGCAATTGTCAAATTCTATGCTTCCATGTCCTTTGGCAATCATTGTTTCAGAGGACTTCGCCACTCCAATCACCGAGTTGATTTTTTTCATATTCAGTATACTGCCTTTCTTATTCGTCATGTTTGATGTACATCCTGAATCAACAATCCACGTGTCTGACGCAATCGTTTTGCCTGTCAAGAAAGCTACTTTATTTTCATTATTATATTTGTTTCTAAAATAACAATTTTTCTCGGTGTGGTTGGTTTTCTTACAAATGCTGCACTTTTGTTCGCTCGACCCTTGGTTATCTCCGCACGACCTTGCCATGTGTCCTATCTTATTGCATTTGAAGCAACGTACCTGTCTTTTCTCGATTGCCGTTTGTGTTTTAGTGCACTTCTTTGCTAAGTGTCCGGTTTTATTGCATTTGAAACACTTTCTATCTGTGGCCTTGAATGCCACTGCCTTTTCCTATTGTTCCTTGGACTTGTTTCTCGCTTCTTCAGCTATAAGCCTGGCGGTCAGGTTCTCCAGTGTTTTTTTCCTCTGTTTTGCGGATTCCCATGCGCTCGCAAAGTATCTATATTCCTCAGGCAGTGTCGCTAATATTTTTGAGATTAGCATCTTATCATCTAGCTTAGTGTCTAACGCATTTAATCTAAAAACTAAATTTCTTAGTTTACTTATATATGTCGCGATATCTTCATTCTTGTTGTATGTGGTACTGTAAAATGTTTGTAGCAAACTACATCTTTGCTGTTCGGAATCTCTTTCGTATATGTTACATATTTTTATCCACATTTCGCGCGCGGTATTGCAATCTAATACGTGCAATAACGGTTTCTTATCCAGCGTTGTAACTATCAATTTCTGTGCTACAGCGTCTCGTTTTTTCCATTGCTGGGTCCTTTAATTTTCCGC